CCAACTGACAAATGATCAACAAAATGTGGAATATCCATACAATACGCATATTTGGAGCAGAAAAAAAATGAGGTTGCGACACATACTTCAACATGAATGAACCTTGAAAATATTATGTTAAGTGAATGCAATCAGTCAGAAAGGACCTCATATTGTATTATTCTTATCAAATGTCCAGAATATGAAAATCTATAGGGAGAGAAAGTAGATTAGCAGTTGCCTAGAGCTAGAGGGAAGGAGGGCACTGCAGGCTGACCGTGAAGGGGTAGGGTGGGGGGATTCTTTTAGGGGTAAATAAAAGTTTCTAAAGTTGATTATGGTGAAGGCTACACAACTCTGATTATACACAAAATACTGAATTGTGCATGTCACATGGGTAACTTTTATGATACATGGATTTTATCTCAATAAAGCTGTTAAAAAAATCATTTCAAATTTATATCAGATCTTTAGATAAATGTTTAAATTTCTTCAAGTCTTAATGTCGTCTTTAAACTAGTAATCCACCCTCAATTGTTAACTGACTATTCTCTTTCAGAGAATTGTATAGATATTTACTAGCTAAATATAAATTTATCATAACTACACCAATCATTTTTCCATATGGTAGCATCTTCAATGAGAGTAACTACCACAATAGAAATGACTAAATATACCCAAGAATGTTTTTGATACGTGTAGTTTGCCTTCAGGTTCATATGGTAATCAGTTATAATTCTTAAAGTTCGAATAGATGTACCTCAATGTTTGATAGCCAAAACAAATTTAATAGGCAAATAACGAATTTTAAGGTTATAATGGTCACCTTTCAACTGTCAATCATGTTATTTACCTAGATTAAACATGGCTTTGTTCTTTTTTTTCTTAAAATTTTATTTTGAGAGAGAGAGAGAGACAGAGATGAGGGGTGGGGGGTGTGCAGAGAGAACCGTAAGCAGGCTCCACACTGTCAGCACAGTGCCTGATGTGGGGCTCAAACCCACGAACCATGAGATCATGACCTGAGTGGAAACCAAGAGTCAAATGCTTAGCCAGTTGAGCCACCCAGGCACCCCAAAACGGCTTTGTTCTTAACAAGACATTTTTTACCCCTTTCCTCAGACAGAGCTTTAAAATGTTAAATGATATATAATATTGCCATAAACTGGGACCTTAGTTTTACCAAGATTTGTTCTTAACTGTTTATTTTGAAATAATTGTAGATACACAGAAAGTTGCAAAAAGAAACAAATGCACAGGTAGATCCTAGGTATTCCTAACACCTTGCATGATTATAATACAACACAAAAACCAGGAAAGTGAAATTGGTACAACCCACAGAACTTACTTAGCTTTTAGCAGCCTTACACTCATTTGTGTGTATATGTACAGTTCTGTGTGAGTTCATCCTATGTATACGTTTGTCACCATCACCACGATCAAGATGCAGAACTATTTCACCACACACAACTCCCTGCTGCCATTCATTTATGGTCACACCCAACACTTTCTCAGACCCCGTCCCAAATCTTTGGCAACCACTAAACTGTTCTCTGTCTCTAAAACTTGGTTCTTTCAAGAACGCTATATAAGTGCAATCACAAAGTGTGTAACCAACAGCACTGGCATTTTTCAATCAAGGTAATTCTCTGGAGATTCACGTAAGCTGTTGTATATATCAATAGTTCATTGTTTTTCATTACTGAGTAGTATTCTATGATACAGGTGTACCACAGTTTAACCCTTCATCTGTTGAAGAACTTCTGGGTTGTTCCCAATTTGAGTCTATGAAAAATACATGAACAGGTTGTGTGTGAGCATACATTTTGTTAATCTGAGATATGTTCACGGGTATTGCTAAATTCTAATTATGTAACAATTTTTTAAAATCTTTTGATGGTTTCTTTTTTTTATGTTTGTTTATTTTTGAGAGAGAGCAAGTGTGCATGCAAGCAGGTGACGGGCAAAGAGAGAGACAGAGAGATAGAATCCAAAGTAGGCTCCAGGTTCTGAGCTGTCATCACGGAGCCCGAAGTGGGGCTTGAACCTATGAACCGTGAGATCATGACCTGAGCCGAAGTTGGACGCTTAGCCAACTGAGCCACCCAGGTGCCTCTAGTTATGTAACAATTTTAGTATCAATTTTAGTATGTTTCTGAGAAAGGAAGATCGCCTTCAGTCTCCATTCTCCACTGTTGTTAATTGAACAAAATTCCTTTTGAAGTCTACCATTTACTCAACTCTTACGGCAAATGAACTAAACATTTTAAATACATTAATCTATATAATCCCCACATCAACCATGGGGTAGTGATCAACAGTCTCCTTATCTTACAATTAAAAAAAAAAAATGGAGGCAAAGAAGAGGTCTAGGGCACGATCCTGGGTCACAGAGCCAGGATGGGAAGAGCAGGGGCTTCAATTCAAGCTATCTGACTCAGAAGTCTACTCCTTCCATTCCAAGACAGCATCCCTTCCACTCTTGGGATGTATGTATTATTGAATACAAAAAGCATACACTAGCACAAAAAGTATTTAGGGGATAAAGTTTATATGTGACTATTACATTTCCTAAGTGAGATTTTAAAAACTGGACATGATCTCTATCTAATATGCTATGCAAATGACCAAAATTCATCTGATAACCTGTTGCTATCTGCACAAACATTATACGGGTAAGAGGTAACCTGGGTACTAAAGGAAAATTCAGGTAAAGTAATCAGCTTTTCTCTACATGAAGCTTTCACTCTTCATTAGGCTTGTGGTAAATAGGAGGTCTGGGGCCAGATGAGAAAGGAGGAGAAGGGAGGGGCTCCTGGGTGGTTTAGTCAGTTGAGTGTCCAACTTTGGACCAGGTCATGATCTCACAGTTCATGAGTTCGAACCCCACAGGGGGCTCGTTGCTGTCAGTGTAAAACCCCCTTTGGGTCCTCTGTCCCCCACTCTCTCTGCCCCACCCCTGCCCATACACTCTCAAAGAAAAGAAACATTTAAAAAAAAAAAACAAAAGGAGTGGGGAATGAGAGCAATGACATCCTTGTCCATGGATACACACTGTAGACTCTAAGACTCTAGAATACATATGAAAAATCTGAAGGAGCAAGGTCCACATCAGAGGTGATAACACATCCCAGGCCCCTACTCCCATGCTCTCTGACAAGCCCTGATGAGTAAGGAGAGGCTTCTTTCCAGAAGCTCTGGTAACAGGACCTATGCATTAGGGAATATATACTCGGATCTCCAGCCCTGCCTGTTGCCCAGAGAAACAAATAACAACAGGGTTCCTCACCAGCCATTCACAAACACTGTCATCAGAAAGGTCATCATCACAAACACCATCATCAGAAATACCATAATACATTTTTTAATTTTGACATCTCTAAAATTTTCTGATTGATCATCAAATACTATCTTTTTTTCTTAATTTAACGTAAGATTTGGTTTCTTTATTCCTACCACAATGAAAAATAATACAGAGGCCAAGCTGCACAGACCTTTAAATAAAATTTAAAACTAGAAGTTTTTTACTAATTAAGGGGGAAATAAATTTACTTTGTAGCTATTATTAGCACATTTTGGCTTTTAATCATTGCTGCACATTAGAATCATCTGAGAATCTTTAAAAATCCCAATAGCCAGGTCATACCAATTAAATTTTTTAAATATCCAGAGGTGGGAGTCAGGTATTAATTATTTCCTTAAAGATACTCAGGTTATTAGCAATAACTGTAACAATTCCAGCAATTAAAACAAAACCCCTCTTTAAAAAAAAAAAAAGGATAAATTATATAAACATTAGTTATACAGCTTGGACACTATACTAGTTAAGTCTAAAAATAACTTCCTTAAAAAAAAAAGTGACTTTCTAACAGCACTTAAATATTTTTTAATTTATTTTTTAATATTTATTTATTTTTGAGAGACAGAAGACAGTGTGTGAGTAGGGAAGGGGCAGAAAGAAAGGGAGACACAGAACCGGAAGCAGGCTCCAGGCTCTGAGCCGTCAGCAAAGAGCCTGACGAGATCATGACCTGAGTCAAAGTTGGACGCTCAACCAACTGAGCCACCCAGGTGCCCCAACAGCACTTAAATATTGAAATATCTTTGAAAATCCTAGTGTACCTTGGTCTCCTTATTATTCATGCAAACTCTTAACTTTTCAGATATAAAAACTAATAATTCAGCAAAAAGCCATAATTCACTTAATTGTCCAAACTTCATAAAAAGTTGTAATTATCAAGTAGTAAAACTAACAGAAAATAAAGAATTCATAGACTTTGATTATCGATTTTATAGAAATCCCTAGTAAGTCAGCATCTAAGAAAGTAACCCAAGGAAATAATAATAGGTATACACCAAGTTATAACTATAAGAACACATTGTGATATATTATACATTAGAATTCTGTACATTTATTTGAAATGTTATAAAACATTCAATGGCATGCAGGGTTTCATACTTAAATATAAGCCAGTCAGAAAACAGTTATAAAACAATATGTAAGATTCTACCTGAAACTTACCTGCAGCTGAGCTGAATCATGCCTGAGACCTTCCACAATAGATGAAAATCTGTCAACGTTTCTTTCTTCTCCAGCTGATGTTAAAGCTTCTAAAACCTCTTCAAGGCTATCAGAAAATTTGAAATTAATTAAATTGCCAACAGCAAACAATCTAAATGCCTTAATACAACTGCTTGATCTATTCAACTCCAGAGTCACTACTCCCAGAACCAGCAACATTTTAAAAGCTTACTGAGTACATAGCATGTATCAAGTACTAGCTACATGTTTTAATTCATTTATGCCTAATAACCCTATGATGAGGATAACTTATCAAACATTTATAAAGTGCTTTCTACACATCAGGCATTATTTAAATCAGTTTACAAATATTAACTCTTTTTAATGTATATAAGTCTATGAAGTTGGTATTGTCCCGTGTTATAGAGCAAGAAACTGAGGGAGAAAAAAGTTAAGCAATTTTTCTAAGGTCTCACGTCTCCTAAATGATGAAGCAAGGATCTGAAATCAGACAGTCTTTGTGGTGAGCACTGTCCTGGTTTCCTTAATCACTACACTCTACTTCCTTTTCAGTGTAAATGAAGTCTGATAGCCAAAAATACACAGTAGTAAGGATTTATATACACACATTCGCACATAAAAAATATGCACATAAAAATACGCACATAAAAAGTAGCAGTTAAAGAGCTACAGTCGCTACACCTTTAAAGAAAGTGTGTTAACACGATCTAGTGTATTGTAGGTCAGTTTGTAGACGTAAACATGTAGTCTGTAAATGTTATCTGTATCATTTTAATAACCTATTATGAAGTCAAGAAATAATAAATATGGAAGAAGTAGAAGGAGAGGAAGGTGAAAAAAGAGGAGGAAAAAGAGAAAGAGGGTAAAGAAAGAAGAGGGAAAGGAGATGGCCAAGAGGAGGGAAAAGGAAAGGAAAGGAGAAGGTGTTAAGGAGGCAAGAGGGAAGAGAGAAGACACAAGAAATGGGTGGAAAGAGGGAGGAGGAGAATGGAGCGGGAGGAGGAGAGGAACAAAGGCGGAGGGGGGAGCACTAGGTGCATCTTGTGTGTCAATATTAAATACCCTCTTAGGGTTTTTACAATAAAGTTACTGTGGTCTTTTTGAAACACTTAAGGGAATGTGGTGCAGCTGTACCTGGCTTCACGTGCTGGCGCTGCTGCTGGGGACATCCTTGTCCGTGGACACACACCTAGCTACCCGTGTTGCCGCGGGGGGACATCCTTGTCCGTGGACACACGCTGTAGCTACCCGTGTAGCCATGGGGGGACATCCTTGTCCGTGGACACACACCTAGCTGTGCAGCCGCGAGGGGACATCCCTGTCTGTGGACACACACCGTAGCTACCCGTGCAGCCAAGGGCGGGGCCTGAGTCTTGCCTGCTGACTCTCCAATAATCCACACAGAGCAGCTCAACAGTTGCCAGGCCCAGGAGGGTCGCCACAAGGACAATTTTCAAATGCGTGCGGGAGGTTCTGCTTACAGGCCTCTCTACCTAGCCTTTATGAAAGGGCTATTTATTTACTCTGTAGGTTGTTCTGTTTTTATATCTTCACCCTTTTTAAAAGGTATTTTAAATAATTTTTAACTGCTTCCTGTAATAAGAATCCCAACCCTTCAAAAAAGAAAAAAAAGGGGGGTGGAGGGTTTATCTTTATAATTATCTTTTAATATGTGTGTAATGGTCTTTTGCTTACAATCCTAATATGTGTGGATAATGTCTTTAAAGTTTAAAACTTCAGGATGTATTTTATGGTCAAAGACTACCCTCTACCAGTAAAGTACTATTACATATAGCACTTTTATTATTTTTTTAAGTTTATGTATGTATTTTGAGGGAAAGAGTGTGAGCATGGGTTAGGGAGGGGCAAAGACAGAGGGAATGAAAGAAACTCCCAAAGCAGGCTCCAGGCTGCTCCAGCACGGAGCCCGAGTGGGGCGAGTGGAGAGGCTCGGGGGCTCAAGCCCATGAACCATGAGATCATGACCTGAGCTGAAATCAAGAGTCGGAGGCTCAACCAACTAAGCCACTCAGGTGCCCCACAAATAGCATTTTTAAAATCTGCCTTACAAACAGATTTTCAAATAATATGATGTTTGCTTTTACAAGGGAAATTGCATGACCTACAATTTGAATTAACTCTATCTGGAAAACAAAAATCACTTAAGAAACAGAATCCATTTGCATATTTTTTTAAGTCTTTGTTGAGAATTTTTTTTTAGGGTTTGAATTCAGAACAACTTAAATACGATGAAGAAATAAGTTTTTCATAGAAAAAGGTTAGCCCATAACTACTATACTGATTGAGAAATAATTATTACTCAAACATTTCTGTTCAGACAATTATGAATCTAAATCAGCTGCTTAAGTAATACTTCATTTATTAACAGTAAATTCTGGTCTAAAATAGAATAATGAAAACATCAAGTAAATCAAATTATATTGTTATATAATTAGAGAAATGAGTTGAGAGGACTTACATGCTTTCCTCCCCTACAATGCATACTGCAGAGAGGAGTTTTACCACATCTGTCATCATACTTGGGTGCTTGGGATCGATGGCTTTGGCTAATAGAGAAAGACTTCTCTCTTCACTCATAATTCTTTCCAAGCCATACTATAACATTTTGGAAATAAGAGGTTAAATGTTAGCAGTTTATTGGGGGAAAAAAAAAATAGTGCCCTAGAGGAAATACAGTTATTAAAAAAGTTTATAGGATAATAGGGTTTTTTTTTACTTTGTACAAGCTAGAAACTATAAGGAATGTATAACATCTTGGAAAAAATTCATAGACTTATTCACATCAAAAACTATGATAGTCAACCAAACATAACTCCTCAAAGGTGATTTTACAATAGTATGACTTACAATTACTAAGAAGGCTAAGTATCCAACTGGAGAAAGGGAGAAACAGTGAGGAAAATGGAGATTTCCCAACAGGAGCACACAAAATAAAAAGTCAGTTTTTGTACCAGACACTGAGGCCATAAGGAGCATTCCTGGGAAGGATGGTTGGTAAGGGATATACCACACAAGTAAATACACAGATCAGCTCTAACCCAGAGAAATATAATGAAAGCCACCCACACAATATCTAGTTTTCCAATAAAAAAGTAAAATTTTAATCAAATTAATCCAGTATATCTAAAATATTATCATTTCAACATAATCAATATAAAACATTTATTGATGAGACAGGAAGAAAAAATAACTAAGTATTCAAAACCCAGTGTGTGTTTTATGTTTACAACACATCTCAGTTCAGACAAGCCACCTTTCAAGTGCTCAATAGCCACAGGTGGTGACCACATTACATAACACACACCTAGATAGTAATGCTGAGTTCATAAAATGGGCACAGGTTGAAAGAAGATTTGGACAGATCCCGTGTAGAAACTGCCATGAGGAGCATAGATACTCTGATCTGACTGGTATTTTATCATCAGAAAGACAATGCAGTTGTAAACACATTATATAAATGGGATGATGCTGGACAAGGAAAAAGTTTGTTTGCTACTGCCAGGATGCCACATCCAATTAGAAGATAAGGAGTCATGTTAATGACTTCGTGTTTTGATTTGAGGATATATACATCTCTTAGGGCCCACTTACAATCTATGGGAGATAAGTATCAAATAACAGAGGATAAATAGAAGCAATAAAACAATATGATTTATCTTCTATGTATCCCAAAGGATCCTTCTAAAGAGTGAGAAATTGGTTGATTAGAATTACTACTGAACACTAAAAAGGACTTTAATCCCAATTACAGACCTATGAACTACAGCTTAACTCAAAGTTAACACTAGATATAATTATCAAAGTTAAATCTATAACAAGCTTAGACCCAAATGCTGTGAGTGGTATGAAATCTTATTTCTAATTTTCCTATCGTGCCTACGTCATTTATATAAAGAAGCCGTCACACTGCTGAAAACACTGCATTTGTTCTTAACCACTATCTAAGGAACACAGGTACCAAGGAAGCAGCACAGGCAGAAGGGCCAAGGGCCCAGGATATGCTTTCTGGAGAGACATCTCGGTCTTGTTGGTGGCAGGGAAAAGTTTACAAATAGATAGCTAAGCCAGTCAGGAAATGATCCCTTTTGTGATGCCCTGGGCTGTCTCCTAACTGGAAACAAAGAAAGAGAAAGCAGGCATGGGGCCAAGGACTACAATGTTCTTCAATAACCATTATAGGGAATTGTCAGAGGTTTATAAAGTACCACTTAGATGCAATTCAAAAAGCCAATCAGTCAATGATTACCAAGTGCCAAAGAGCTGGCTCTGTCCTGAGAAACCAGAGGATTCAGTAAAGCATTTCCCTTTCATTTCCCACCCACTTGGATGTCCTTAGCCAACTCCTGCCCGTCTGGAATCGGAGTCCTGTGGCTCCTCCAAATACTCAAAACAACTCATACCGATTTCCTCCAAGTGATACTAACTACCTTCTCTGTGAAGCCCTCTAGCTCTAAACCATTATGAGTAGAGAGCAAAATACGAGCATTCTCTGATTTCAGAGTTTTCACTAGCACTTCCTAAACTCCAAAGCTCCACCATCGGCAGTATTCTGACTTTGCTAACATAAAAACATGCCGCGCTCATTTTAAGACTGGAATGAGGCCAGATTACCACCACTGAGCATCTAGAACTAAAGACAGAATTGCCGCCTACTTCATTAAAATTACTCTTGTTCAATTATTTAAAAAACAAAGCAAAGCAAACAAAAACTGTTGACTCTGTGAAAGAAATAATCAACTTACCAGTGCTAGCATTTAAAGTGCATTAAATGAAGCCTATTAGAACGTTAGAGAGGCGGTGACAAATTTTGGAAGGTCTAAGGTGTCTCTCTACTGAATATCAAGGGGCCACTCTGGTTTCTATGAAAACTCATATGTTCTAAATCGAGGAATAAAGCCAGGTTCCATTTGCTTTCTACTTGAGGCCCATTATTACCTAACAGATAGAATGTCAAGCCACTGGAAAAGTGTTAGGTAGGGGAAGGTGAAGGCCCTAAATCCTTGTGTACGATACTCAACAGAGCATGAATCCTGATGCTCAATCACTACTTATGGTGAGTTAATCCCAGTAGCAGAGATAACACTGGGAAGGGGGCTGGCTTCAGGAGCAAAACACCTATGCTGGGGGGTGCACACCTTAAAGCAACACACAAAATGTTAACAGACCAAAATGTAGCCCCTGTTCTACTCACCTCTTAAACATATTTAACTTTTCATCGTTTTATTGTTTCCCCTAATATTCAAAATCTTTTTCCATTTAGAAAATACTATTTAGTCCAATTTAGTGTTATAAGAAACTCACTTTCATCTGTTACCAGATTTACTCATTAATTACATAATTACTAGTGCCTAAGAAGGTACCACATTTTTTCCCCTCTCAGAGCCTATATTTTTTTCATTATTCGAGGAACTCTTGTAAAGAGTACACAGTGACATAAATGAAAAACCATCAACAAATCTTGGGGAGGAGGGGGACTTTACCGAAAAATTATTTCATATATTATTAAGTTTAGAATTCAGAAAATAGAATAATTTCAAGTATCAGCAACTTTTTATTCTTATTAGCACAGATGATAGCCATCAACACAAATGGAAATAGATTCCAGCTCCACAGATACAAACTATAAGCAAAAGCAATCCATTATAAGGGAACACACTGTATCAATCAGAACCTAAATATATAAAGTTGACTCCCTCCCCAGGTCAGTCTGAAGTAGGAAATTGCTTCTATACACCACCTCATCTCACTTTAATCCTGGTATTCCTCCCAAAATCAAAGAATGATCCACATGCCCCTTTAGTTTAAAAAAATGTTCCTGGATTTTCTCTGTCAGCCTTATCATCAGGGAAATTTCCAATTTCTATATTCTCAATTTACAAGGAGCCTCTCTAAAGCAATATTATGTCCTCAGGATAGAAAAATCGCTTTCTTCATTTACTCTTAAGACATATTGTAAAAAAGAATATGCAGTCTAACTAAAAACTAATTCTCACAGAACAATCCGTTCAAATATAGAATATATGTGAATATGTAACAATATAAAGAGGATTTCTACATCAGATATTCCCGTTGAAAATCATATTAGAGGCGCCTGGGTGGCTCAGTCAGTTGAGCGTCCAACTTTGGCTCAGGCTGTGATCTCACAGTTCGTGAGTTCGAGCCCCACAAGGAGCTTGCTGCTGTCAGCTTGTCAGGGCAGATCCCACTTCAGATCCTCTACTCTCTTTCCCTCTTCCCCTCCCCCACTCACACTCTCTCAAAAAACAAAACATTAAAAAAAAAGAAAAGAAAAGAAAGAAAATCATATCTGATTGGAGAAGGCAGGGAGGTGAAAAATATCTCATTGTGCAAAAACAGAAATCTCAGCTCAAGAAAATGCTGAAAAATAAATAAGACATGAAGGATTAAAACATATTGGGGCACCTAGGTGGCTCAGTCAGTTAAGTATCGAATTGTGGCTCAGGTCATGATCTCACAGCTCCTTAATTAGAGTCCTGCATCAGGCTCTGTGCTGACAGCTCAGGACCTGGAGCCTGCTTTGGATTCTGTGTCTCCGTCTCTCTCTCTGCCCCTTCCCCTCTCATACTCAGTCTCTCCCTCAAAAATAAACATTAGAAAAAAAAGAAAAAAAGGAAAATAGAAGTATTTGCTACATTTAATAAAAAGAAATATGAATGTTAATAACTGAAGTACCAGTACTTAAGTGTGTAAGGCTCTAAAGGCTTATTTTTAAAATGTAAGACAAAATATTAAAAATTTGAAATTAATCAGAAATATACAGGCAGTTTTGCTGTGAAACACAAATCATCCTAACACCACAGGTAAAATTCCTCTCCTGCTGTCTAATGGCAACTAAAACACCGATCATTACTGTACCCATCATGAGGTAGATATGTTTAGATGTTGAAGCTAAAGACATGCCATGTGATAGAGCCAATTTCTGCAATTGACAGTATACAATATTTAAAAATGGGAACACTGTCCGAAAAATCTAACTTCAGTTAGGAGCTTCAAGTGTTCCTCTCTTCTTACGTATCCTCTTCAAATTTGCAAACTCTGCAGACCTGCCATATTGCCTGTGGTTTCAATATTACTTGTATGAAGCATCATTGCTCCATTTTGGGGACCGGCTTCTAATCGTTTCACACCTTTTCACGTTAATTTGATTGTAGATTTAAATTTCTAGGCTATGAAAACTAAATCTTTCCCACTGGATTCTCTGATAATAAATATTACTGCAGATCACGTTCAATTATCATGTATGATTTCAAAGCTTATTTTTGCTATACTTCTGAAAATTGAGAAGGAAGGAGGAAGAGAGAGGGGGGAACAGAAAGGAGGGTAGAAAGGGAGGATCAACCCACCCACAAGGATTTGTACTCAATAGCTTATCAAAGCAGTACATCACTTCAGTGCAAATTCTGTACTACACACAACTCTATTTTATACGAATTCTGTAAGTACCAGTGAAGAACGAATACAATGTAATTACCTATGTACATACCTGTGTGTTCATCAAAGCTTTTAGACACTGTATGACTTTATGCTGCTTCTTCTTTACAATTTTTTCTTGTCTGCATTGGCATAAAAAACATCACTGTTGGGATTATCGCTGGACATGCAAATGTAGCTTAATTGAAAATAAAATGAATATACTTACATTTTGCCGCTAATCAGTTTTTCCAAAATGTCCAGTAATAATCCAAGCCCCTCATGTCCAAAACTTTCCACCCAACTGATAAACAGGAAAACAAAAAACAAAAAACAAAAGGCAATTATGCATGGTCAGTATTCTAGTTTAGAATATCACAATGAGATATGCTCACAAATATTTCATATTTGTTATATTCTAATCATAAATACAACATAAGAATATCATGTGCAAAGTCACTCATGATACATAATCTTATTTGTGAGAGCAGTGATGGGATAAACCAGACTATGTCCATCACTTCTGTGCTCCATGTCCAGCAACATTGTGTTGGTAGCTAGAATCTGCCCTGTGGGAAGTAACACAATGCAGAAATCAGCAAATGCTGCCAATCACCCCATCTCCCCCCACCCAGAGAGCTGGCCATTAAACATTTACCAACACACCCCTGGATAAGCCTCACTTTAAACTTTTACAAAGAGCAGAAATCAGGCAATATTTAAAGAGGGAAGGGGCGCCTGGGTGGCTCAGTCGCTTAAGAGTCTAACTCTTGGTTTTAGCTCAGGTCATGATCTCACAGTTCATGAGTTCAAGCACTACACCAGGCTCTGCACTAACAGTGCAGAGCCTGCTTGGGATTCTCTGTCTCCTTCCCTCTCTCTCTCCCTCTCCTGCACTGGTTCTCACTCTCTCTCACTCTCTCTCTCAAGATAAAACACATAAACTTAAAAAAAAAAAAAAAAAAGATTTAAAGAGGGAGAACTCAGATGTACGTATTGAAAAGAAAAGTCTTAGGAAAATTTCTCAAACCACTGAAATGCATCCTAATTTCCTAAGTTTCAAAGTTCGATTGTTTTAAGAGTTTCATCATTATTTTTAAATGAACATTTTCATCTTGACCAAACCACCTCTTTTCATAAACCCACTGGTATAATCACAGTACACTAATGTAATTAGGACATCACTGCCAATAGACAATTGCTTACCTTGGTTATAGAAAAACTACCTTAATGGGAATTAACACAACTTTTTTTCCAGTGGTGATTTAGGAAGCTTTGAACAAGAATATCATCTGTTTTTTTTAAAAAGTAGGGGAAAGAAAATTTTAGGATATGTAACTGTGTTTATCTCTTTGTATATGTGTTTGTATGTATGATTGTGTGTGTGTGTGTGTGTGTGTGTGTGTGTGTGTGTGGCCTTTGAAAAATCGAATTTTAAAGACAAAGTTTCATCCAATAACCAAAAGCAAAATATTATAAACATTAAGAACAAGTCACATACCAAGATATAATACCATTTTCTTAAGACACAATAGAACATTTCCTATGACAATAAGAAAACCAAACACAACACTTTTAAATGAAAACAAATATTGTTTAAAAAAAATCTTCTTCATTTGTACACTTGTGAATACAGCTTACTCACTTATAAATGTTTCTGATTCCTACCACACCAAAAAAAAAAAAGCTATTTGTCATTTAGATTGGCAGACACTTGTCAACTATTTCACTTGTCTCCTCCCTGTCCAGTTAAAGCCATGGAGTAACTAATTCAAGAATGTACTTAAGCAAGAAACATACTCTGATACCCTCCTAGGAAAAGAAAAGCCTGGAATCACTATTACAGTGAAGGTGAGAAAAAAAAAGTTGAATAGAAGTCAGAGTTTTCAAACCAGGATACTACTTCAAAAGTGACGAGTTTACTCTCCACTATCAGCAACACACAGATTACCTGTAGGCATTTCAAATCTCACTTTCATGTTTCATGAAACACCTACAGCATCTGCTTAACTGTTTGCCTTGTTGACATCCTACTCCATATTTATTCTTATTTCACATGAAGCAGGGAAGCTTGAAATCAAACACATAAAGAGTAACTTGAGAGTTTTACTGGGGCCGACACTGACACACGTGGACAGACTGTATTCATCGTGCCCTCCTGGGTTAGTGTCTCCAAGCGGGACTTCCTACTTTGAAGTGAATTTTTAACAATCTGTATATGCAAAAGTATAACCATGGAGACATTCAAAAGCTAACATAAATGATATAGGATTATTCATATGGCTATCCCTTTCAATCATTGTGGAAAATAAAGTCACTATTCCTAAAACTGCCTTACACCAAAATAATTTAAAACTAGGTTAATATAACAAAATAAACTTTGTTTCACTTGATATGCTCATGGTGAAGCCTACTACAGAATTTAGGAAGCTTATCGATCCAAGTAAATCAAGTTAAGTCTTTTGGTCTAATTAATAGAACATAGTTTTGTTTGTTTTGTTTTTGTTTTTTTTTAATTTATCACCCTTGGGGCACCTAAGTGGCTTAGCCGGTTAAGCGTCCGACTTCGGCTCAGGTCATGATCTCACGGTCCGTGAGTTCAAGCCCCGAGTCAGGCTCTGTGCTGACAGCTCAGAGCCTGGAGCCTGCTTCAGATTCTGTGTCTCCCTCTCTCTCTGACCCTCCCCCGTTCATGCTCTGTCTCTGTCTCAAAAATAAATAAACATTAAAAAAAATTATAAATAAATAAAAAAATAAATTTATCACCCTTAATGTAACAGCTATAACCAGAATGCTGTGACCCACAGAAGGTCTCATATTAACTATTTTTGGACCCACTAAATAACTCTTCTGAACTATAGAATATAAGCCATTGCAGTAAAACTTACATTCACTCAAGCATATTACATATGAACTACTTCTCTATAAAATAAACTTAATAAATTAAACGTAAAGAGACATTATACCAAATTACTTTACACTGCAATCTTTTAACTCGTGGTAGAAATTAATTTCTGAATAAAATCGGAGAGAATGGTAATAGCCTAATGAAAGTCAGACTATACATTTCATAAAATACATCAAAAACAAAGTGAGGGGACAAGGCGAGGAAACAAAGATGCTTGGTAACAAAAAAAAATACATATATATAATACTTAAACATAAAAAGCTGGTACTTACTGAAATATTAAAACACAAATTAAGTAAAAACGCTCTCTGTTTTCTTAAAAATTTGCAAGGCCAGGGGCGCCTGGGTGGCGCAGTCGGTTAAGTGTCCGACTTCAGCCAGGTCACGATCTCGCGGTCCGTGAGTTTGAGCCCTGCGTCGGGCTCTGGGCTGATGGCTCAGAGCCTGGAGCCTGTTTCCGATTCTGTGTCTCCCTCTCTCTCTGCCCCTCCCCCGTTCATGCTCTGTCTCTCTCTGTCCCAAAAATAAATAAACGTTGAAAAAAAAAATTAAAAAAAAAAGAAATTTGCAAGGCCAGCATATTGTTGTACTAACAAGTTGTCACTAACAAACCCATTCTTTCAAAACCTTGGCCCCACCTCTACTATTTTCAGCATGATTTTTAAAAATAGGGGCAAATATTATTTCTTATCTTTTCTGGAAAAGACGTGCAAGATAAAAAGTGATATTGAGTAGGTAGGCCTGTGGTGCTGACAGAGGTTCATTGAAATCCATAGCTTTTTACAAAAGTAAAAGATTTCTCATCATCAATGTAAGAAGCAACCTGGAAAAAAAAATTATCAACTGATCTATAAATGATCAATCTTTAGGAAACAAAATCTGTTCTATTTATTCTGTGCCTGTCAGCATAGTACCATCAGGCATTATGTGGTTTAACTATAAACTGCATTCATGGATGAATAAGCACTGTGCAAATGTTTCTTCCTCATGAATAGAAATGACATAGAGATTAGTATGACATTTGTATGGGGAAAAAATTGCTTAAAAACAGCAAAAAGTAATGTGCTAAGTACTAATTTAACACAAAATCTACCTCTTAAAATTCCGTAACAGGAAATATCAAACTCTTCTTTTTTAATTGCTTCAAGAAAAACTTCTAAGTATATTGCCATTTAGCACTTCCTAGCAGGGGGCTCCATGTAAGAGAAAAAAAAGAGGTGAAGAGGTAACAAAAGGAAAAAAAAAAGAGGGAGAAAGAGAGGTCTCTAGGATTAAATGTTCAAACTATCTTAAAATGTTCAAAGCAGCTTATGCTTTGAAATTCAGTTGTTGCTTCCTGAGACACAGGATGAAATCAAAGGTATGCAAAGTGGTTTCCTAGGTGTTGTTGGCTTTATGAAGCAAATACAGTCATCTCAATGAGCAGAAGAGGCAATAATCAGGTCTCAGATTTACTTCCTGGCCCAAGGACACTATCCATGTATATGTTTCCCACAGACTTAAGTTAGTTATCACCTCTCTTGCCAAATGTGCTCCAAGGAAGGTAAAGATAAATGCATCATAGATTGTCAGAACAAGAATAAACCAACCACATCCTAAGGGCAACCTTACCAGTCACATACACCTGGAGAATAGGGACCATTTCTAATTTGTCTTTACATTCTCCAGCACCTGGAATAGACTAAGCATTCAATAAATGGTTTTAAAATAAAACTGAATCTCCTTCCATTTTTATATATAAGAAAAGAAGACACAGAGAGAGGTTATGGTCACTTCGAAATAGCATCCAGGTCTGCTGATGCCCAGATTCACACCCTTACTTTACATACCTAGAAAAAAAGTACAAAGCAATGACGCTTCCCATGCAGTATCACTGAGCCTGTTCCAACCTTCATGCCAAATACATCAATTCTGATTTCAGAACTGGTACTTATCCATACTGAACCAAGGATGATGAATCTGGAGTCCCTGTCCTTAGCACACTTGAGGACTTGATTGACTGCAGCTCAAAGGGTGATGTTTCATTACTACTCAAACAAGTGTTCATTAACAAAGTCACTCAGCCTTTATGAAGGTCTCACTGTGTGCTTAATACTACAATAGGTATGACAAATACAAAACTGAATAAAACATGTTCTCTGCCCTTGAAAAGATCACAGACTAGTGGTTGAAACAAATGTTGAGCTAAATCATTTCCATAATATAATAAATGCTATAATCATGGTGCTAAGGGAACAGAAGATAACAGCATCTACCTCTCCTAGGAGCAAAGCAACTGATGTCTGACCTGAGTTTTCAAGGTTAAGTCAGAGAAAGAGCTGTTTCTAAGGCACTGGGAATGCATGCAAAGCCATTAAAAGAAATGGTCTGTGCCGAGTTCCAGAAACGGCTGTATG